TCGCCTACATCGTCCATATAGGACGACTCGGGAACTCAACTCCTACCCCGGGCAGCTCACCTATCCCCTTATGCCCAGGGGAAAGGTATCAAGCCGTTTGACAGCTGATGCTGGCTGTCAAACCGGCTTTTACGCAAAACAGGCGGGAGGCAGCAAACAGCTGCGACCAGCGAAATCGCCTGCCACCGGAAGTCTCCGAGTATGTTCCTTCTTTAGGGACATATTATTCCCGATAAGACTGATTTTTGCAGCATTGTATAGTAGTGAATAAATGGAGGCTGCAACAACTCTACTTCATACTTCCCCCAAATACAATCTCTGGCCCTGCTCAAAACTCAGGCAGAAACCAATTACACTTTCAATTACAAAAAAACTCATCATTCTAAATACTTATTTGACTTTGCTATACTTTCATATAAACATTTAAGAGGTGCTTATTTTATTTTTAAGATTATTTTTAAAGTACATGGGTTTCTCTACCTACTCTCTGAATGTTGGTTATTTGAGAATCATCCTATCTCTTCTAAAGTATCTCCAGATTTATGCCAGGAAGTTTCTCCCTTTTTATAAAAAGGGGCTATTGAGGATGTAACTATGGGGGACTATTCTTTTGCCTAAATACTTTATCATTCCTAAGGAGGATTGTGACTTCATAATGCATTGGATCTTTTCCATTTCAACTATTTTTTGAAGCAGGGTTGTTTCAAGATAATATCCATTTTCCACTTGAAAAAGGGGTTGTGGTTTCCTTCTATAAATTTGCAGGGAGATTTGCAGGATGCATATCTGTAAAACCCTAATCTCATTGCTTCCTTAGCTCTGATGGATCTATTTACCGTAGGCTCTTATCATTTGCCTGTTTTGTAATCTATGAGTTTTTTTCTGAATGTATTTAAGTATTTACATGTAAGTAAGAGCACACCTGGAATACAGCATCCAATTTTTATCACCACATTACAAAAAAGGTGTTGAGACTGGAAAAAGTGCAGAGAAGAGAAACTAGGGATGATTAAAGGCCTGGAGACTAGATAGTCTAGAGACTAGGGGTGACATTATAGCAGTATTCCAGTATTTGAGGGGCTGCTACAAAGAAGAGGGAGTCAACTTATTTTCCAAATCATCAGAAGGTAAGACAAGAAACAATAGATGGAAACTAATCAAGGAGAGAAGCAACCTGGAATTAAGGAGAAACTTTCTAACAGTGAGGACAATGAATCAGTGGAACAGCTTGCCTTCTTGAAGTTTTGGGTGCTTCGTCACTGGAGGTTTTTAAGAAGAGACTGGACAGTCACTTGTCTTAAATTGTAGGGTCTCCTGCTTGAGCAGGGAATTGGACTAGAAGGCCTCCAAGGTCCCTTCTAGCTCTATTCTTATTGATTGAAATGTTTATATTCTCCGTTGAGCGTAGTGGTTTTGAAAGAACAAACATAAGATAGATCCATATTTGTTTCTGATTGCAATCATTTTGACCATTAATGCCCTACATGGCTTGGCACTAAAGTATTTTAGGACCACTTTCTGTATCTAATTTCAACTCATCCAATTCAAACATCTTAAGAGAATTTGCTTGAAATTCCCCATTTTCATGAGAAGGCATATGAGAAGGCTTATAATAGGACATTCTATACTTTGAAATAATCTTCCCCAGGGATTCAGTGTACCCCCCCTCTTCTTTTTTCCACCCTACACTATTAAAAATAGAGTTACATTGGAGAGTTTAAGGAAGATAAATTGATTATGAGATTGAATAATGGTTTGATACTATTTGATTAACTGACTTTTATTTTATTTTATTTTACTGTGAATGTATATGAACCACTCTCTTTTCAATTGTGGTAGAAGAGAAATCAAGTAAATCATTTTTCCTCTTGGTTCTACCCTACATTACAGGTTCCTTCTACTAATAGCTATTTTCAGACAATTTCACTGGAAGTTTTTTTTCATACACCCCCTCTTCCACATATGTGCATCTACATAAAGATGAAGAACGCATGTCCAGGCCCTTTATATCTGAGATACATGATCCAGCCATGAAGCATTCAGATATGTGAACATATCTGAGCATCTCTCAATATAGAAGGCAGTGTTATGGTCACCTTTCCAGTGCTATGCCATGACCAGAGTGGCCAGATGATATTAGACACTCCCACAATAGTCTGGTCTGTAAAGAAGTAGTAGTGGTAAACCATAAACCTGGCTATAGCAATGTCCTCCCTGATTGGCTCAGCTATATCTGAAACCTAACCAAAAATGGCAATAAACACTGTCAAATCCCACTGGGGCAGCTACATTTAACCTATATGCACTGTAAGACAACGTCTAACTTTTTGCAAGTGAGATGGGATAGACCCCCAATTTGTTAGTGATTTCTTCCTTTTTTAAAAAACAATAATTCTCTTTCTACATGTTTTCACCCATTCCACTGTAAGAGTTCTGGTGAAAATCAACAAAGATTTAACCAACTTCATTCTTACCTCACCTTAGTAGCCTCATTAGCCATGGTTCACCCTGTTGCCTTGCCTTGTTGTACAATCTGACCCATTAGGACCATTTTTGTGTTCTGAGCCAAGGTCCCTTTTCTATCCATCAGGGGCACATCTTCACATCTTGGAAGATTTGATTCTGTTACCTTTCTGGAACTTACAACAGGCTACATTGGCTTTTTGGAGACCTCCGCCACAAGCTTTCCTATGCAGTAATTGCCACAGGAAAATCTTTTGAGGTCTTAAAGCTCTCTTAATCACCTGGATTCCAAAGTCCAAAGAAATAAAGTGCCAGGAATCCCAGACTGAACATAATAGTGCAGATCAAAATTCTATGATTTCATTAGCTACTTCTACTCATAGGATGAACTGAATAAGCAGTGTGTATCAGCCTGTGTGGGAAGCATACAGGATACCAGCTTTGCCATTGCCAAAACAAGAACAGATGGAAATTCCCTCCCACTCCAGAAAGGATTGCTTTTTTAGCTCTTTATCTAGGACAAGCAGGAGAAAGAGGTGCAAGAATTGGAACACCAATTGCAGTATAAAAATAGAACGGCAGTTGCTGGAATTCTTTCATAATGGCATCTTAGCTTTTCTAAGCTCATGCGCACCAGTGATTCTGATTTCTTACCTATAATGAAGTGTCTAATTGTCCCTTTTCTGAGGCTCCATTAGTCTGCTGCAACATAAATGACAATTGTATAACATTCAGAAATTCTATCATGCTGTACATACAGTATTTATAGACTACAATCTTCAATAAAATATATGAAATGTTATTTGGAATAATCAAATATATATCCATGATTTGAGGGGATGGGGCGAGGTAAGAAGTAGTACCACACGTACATTGCTCTCTCTGACCCTAAAATTTGAGAGGATAATACTCTATAAACTTGATAAAATATTTACAAATCACAAATATTTTATGTTATAATAATTAGTCAACAGACTCTTCATTATTTCAATTTAATCTTTTCTATAGATCGGACACTGAGAAACTGATCATATTAAACAACAGAACAGTCTTAATAATGATTTAAGTATAATGAATTTTTTTCTGTTTGTGCATTTATTAGGGCTGCAAAAATGGACATAAAATGTGCTTTGGAAGAGTGCTCAGTGGCAATAAATTTATTTCTTAATAATAAATTTTCAGAATCTCTGGATTTACTTCGACCATGGTGAGTTTTGTTTGCTGGAGTTTTCATCTGGTAGCTAGAAATGTATTTAAGGCCTCTGAATAATACAACTTCAATTTCTGTTCTTGCCAAAAACATTTGTTTTGCAACTATATAATCCCATTCTCTAAAACAGAATTTTTCATTCTGTCAGTGAGAGAAGGGTCCCTAAATTTTGCCTTAGGCATGATAGTCAAATTTAGACCTTTGAATATCACTAAATACGGTTTTTCATCTGAGTCTGTTTCCCAGTAGAGGCACAAGGATTTCATGAAACAATATTGTATTCTTTAACTTACTATTTTGTTATACAATGTGATTTAAAAAATGAACTTTTAATATACTCCCATTTGTATTTATTTTATAAAATATTTAAGATTTATTCATTTAGACTTGTCATTTGTCAGAAAAACAAAATGTGTTTTTGTTTTCAGTGTTAAGTTTTTATTTTTCTTGATATAAAAAGGCTAAATTTTAATTATTAAAAATGGCATATTGATTTCTCGCCAGCACTAGCCTCGTGAGATAATTACTTTTATGGGAGGGAGGTCATCGCAATATTGCAAGGTTTGGGAACCCCAGGCAAAAAGTGTTCCTGATTGTTTTCACTTAAAATTAATGACTATTTTAGCTCATATTTTGATGTATACTGGAATTCATATATTCTTTGAAAAGCAAATAACAAAAGTAATTGGACTCCAAAATAATTCCCAAATAAAGAAAATGCATAATTTTAAGAATTTTATAGGGATAAATAGTCTTGGCTCAAAATGTTATGTTGAACACAAAGCAGCATTTTAAAAGTAAACTGTATTGTAAAAATTATGTAAAATTTCACTTTTGTTTTTGACAATCGTAATTGGCTTTCTTTTCACTATCTTTACTTTATATTTTATTTTCAAAATAGGTCTAAAGATAGCCTGTACCATGCCCTAGGTTATAGTACTATATTAGTTGTTCAAGCAGCAATGACATTTGAACAACAGGATATCCAGATGGGACTTTCTACAGTGAAAGAAGCTTTACAAACCTGTCAAAAGTAAGATGGAACAATTTTTATGACATTCTTGCAGGACTGACATAATTAGGATTGGTATTATTTCATTATCTAATGAAAAATATGTTTGTTTGTTTGTATCCTGCCTTTATTATTTGTACAAATAACTCAAGGCAGAGAATATGTTCAACACCCGTTTCTCCTCCTGTTTATTCCACTACAAAAACCATGTAAGATGAGTTGAGCGGAGAGAAAGTGACTGGCCCAAGGTCACCCTGCTGACTTTCATGGTAGAACTCTAGTTAATTTGGAAATAAAAAAGATATTTGTTATTTTAACGGAGAAGCTCAACATTTTTATTACTTATTGATGTTTATGTGATTTTTGATAACAATGAAGTTGAATGAAAAAGAAATGGCAATTTTCAAATTTTAAATCTGCTGTTGACTCCATTGAAAAGTAAACCTAGATCTATTGTCTTTGCCCCCCCTTCTCAAAAGTAAGTAACATCTTTGCCGCATTTTAAAACTTTACTGCAGATATTCCTCAGATGGTAACATTGCAGTAGCCAAGTAATTGAGATAGCTCTATTCTAGAGCTTGTATTAGCTATCAAATCACATAGTGCTAATCTACATAACCTGTTTGTCCCAGAACAAGGAGGAAAAAAATGCAGTGCATAGAGTAACTAGAACCTGTGTATGCCAATTCAAGGTAGCTTTTCAGGTTGCAGCTAATGGTGAGTGGGAGCGAAATTTCACCAAGGGAACCACCAGTCACAACCTTAAAACGTTGCAACTTAGAGGTATGAACAGTAACATGGGGCACGCTGTTCTGGAGGGTGTTAAGGGTGTACTGTGAGAATGATAAGATTTAGGGAAGCATTATTTATTCCTGGCGCCAAGATTGAAGGCAACACAGCAAAGCAGTTGTGTGGAAGTGTCCATAATCTTCTGGCTCCATTCCCTTATTCCCCTGACAGGTTGGCAATTATGTTTGATTTGCATCATGTTTTTGGAAATTATTTGGGCAATAGTACAATGTGTTTCCTGTAGATTCAGTAGAGCACAACTTGTTTAGAGTTCTTTGTTTTTATGACAATTGCTTTAATTAAACAACAGGCTGAAAGTGTGTTTTTGTCATATATGTCGATACAGGTTTAGAAAAAGAAACACAGTGGTGGAATCATTATCCAATTTAGTTTCAAAACAGCCTGTAGATCAGCTGAGTGAAGGTAAGAAAAAATAGGGTGAGAGATTTTCTATTACAAGTTCTTTTTCTGATTTGATAGGATATATACAGGGTATGTATGTGTGTGTGTTTGTATGTGTGTGTGTATATACATACACACACATGCAGACTTCCCATGATATGTGAGTTTTAGTCTATTTTGCAAAATGTACATCTTTTTCACTGCGAAAAATATGTACAACTTTTTGCAAAATAGTCTAAAACTCAACTATCATGGGAGGTGTGCTTTATTTTTATTTAAAAGTATGTTTAACTTTTTTCACTTCTGTAAAAAGAGCAATGGCCAATGAGTTCACAAGGCACCTGAAAGTTTTCCAATCAAAATAAACCCACCAGGCAAAATTAAATCCACAATACAAGAGGGTTCACGAGGCAAGAAAAGTCCAGAGTTCACAAGGCACAATCCAAGTCAAGGCACAGTGTCAATCCAAAGCAAGGCAAGAATCACAACAACCAGAAAACATACAGCTAGGAAATGAACACGTTCCCAGCATCGTCTCCATCTGTCTTTTGTGCCAAATAGTCATCTTCTGATACAGCCCATCAAGAAGTATGAGTATACTCACAAGCATACTCCTTGTGAGTAATCTGGCTGACCTTCTCTGCTCCTGCCTTTTCTCTGCCCTGTGAATTCTTAGATCAAGTGCAAAAGGCACCTGAAGCCTCATGGCTGTCCTGTTTCAGCTGTGCTTCAGCCAATCCCTCTAAGATGGCTGCTTGGAGCCATTGACCAACTCCCCTCCTAATATCTGGAGAGGTATCTGGAGAAGCGTCCGGCGGAGTTATCATACACAGTAATTTGGAATGGTGCACTTCTGAATTTGCTTCCTTGTTCATCTATATCAATCACACAATGTAAATATCAAAGGACTGCAGTCTAGCTGCTACAATGAGTCTGTGACGTACAACTGGTTGCTTTATGGCTGTTCAAAGTTACATCAACCATCAGGAAAGCTATTTATGGCCTGGTCCCAAAATTACAGCCACCGGTCCCCTCAGGCCTTTTCCTCCTCCCACGGGTCCTACAGGCTTTAAGTCTGACTGTACCCTACCACGTCTCACATCCTCTCCTCACTTTGAAGAGCTCTGGAGCCTTCTGCAGCACTGGAAGGATTGCTTAATTGTACAGCCACATAGCTGTACACTTCCACATTGACTTTGCTTGTTAGGTCACAAAAGATGATCACAAGACCCCGGGACACTGCAACTATCATAAATATGAACCAGTTGTCAAGCATCTGAATATAAATCACGTGACCAGTGGTCATAATTGTGAAAAATGATCGTAAGTTACTTTTTTCAATGTTGTTGTAACTTCAAACACTTACTAAATGAACCTATAATTTGGTTCAAAAATGGTTGCCTTATGATGCACCATTTTGCCCAGTTAAAGGTTACAAGAATGAGTGTTTTAACAGTATATAGACATTTTAGGTGGCCCCAAGTGTTCCAAACAAGCTATTAAGGATTAGGCAGGGTTAGAGAAGTCTTTTTAATGAAGATGTGTGATTAACACTTGTTGCATTTAAGCAACATGTCCCAGAATTGAAAGCTGAACTGGATCAATCTGCCCTGCCAAGAAATATTTTCCTGAGCATTCCTCTTCATCAGGCTAGCAATAATCTTACAATTTTTTAATGTCCCCCATAGTAATTCTTAAGGGAATATTAAAAAAAATACCAAATGAATTATAATTGGGCCCTTCTGGATATAATAAGGGCCTATTAAATCCGTACTTCATGTCCTGCTGCTACATTTTATTGTTTTATAAGGGTGCAATGGCCCATTTTATCATCCCTTATTCACCAAAGTACCCAGGCAATTCTGATCTATTTCATGTAAAATTAAATACACAAACAAGTACTCTGTTTCTGTAAAGATGGCCTAATTTGGTTATATGTTTGTAAAACCAAGAGCAATTTGATTGCTTTGATGATTTGTTGCATTCTGATTAGTGACCATAGTACAGAACCAATGTTGCTAAGTGTTGCCTTAAGTGTATATATGTTGTATACTCTATGTGTCCTTATAAGCCTTTCATGTGTATTCAACAAGTTTTTTTCTAAACAATTTGAATGGATTGCATGTATATCTATATTTTTTATAACCAAATACAGTACACATTTTTATATTCTTTATGTTTTCAGAACTTTAAGAACTGCCAAAAGAGTTAAAAGTCATCATTATTTCTGCAGGCTCAGAGCTAGATTTCCAAGTAAATATTAGTAGGTTCATCCTGTGATTTAAAAAAAAACCCAAAAAAACACCCCAAACATCTTACACCACCCCAACATAAAAATCTTTCCAAAACCCTGGTTTAAATTTCAGGTACAAATTTTCCAGATGACTTAACAAGCCATGATTCCCTTGACCTCTATACCAGTAATGGCCTGGTTTATGAATTATTTTCAACTTTACTCGGAATTATTTTTATCTATGTAACATACTTAAAAAAATTATTTCGGATACCACATAATCTAAAAATGTTTGATTAAAAAATAATGTATATTATAGAAACAATAAAATAACATTGACATAAAACAAAATAGTTTGCAAAAATAGTAAAAGGACACATATATTCAGGGTTTGATTAAATAATAGGGAGAAAAGATCACCGGTTAGAAAAATAATACAAAATTAAAGGTTAAAGTAAGAGAAATAACATTAGTCAATTTAAGAAACAATGTAAATATTTTGTGGAATACCTTTTGGTTTTTAGCATTTCTTGCTTCAATGCTGGATACTAAGATATATATACATATATTCATATATTTCTTTTTTAACAGACGAAATGCATGCAGAACTCTGTTACGCTGAATGTTTACTGCAGAAAGCAGTCTTGACATTTGTACAGGTAATATTGTGTACAAGTAATATAGTTTGTGTATATATTGCCAATCTATTGGAATATGGGATATTATATAGGATATAGTATATATATAGTATATATAAGAATATAGGTCTCTAAAAACGTAGTGTATTCTTGTTTTCTGAAAATCAAAGATTTTCTTTGGTATCTTGCTACTGCCTTTCTCAAAAAAGACATTCAGGTACAGATATGGATTTATTAATATTAAGACATGGATAAATATTAGAAATATTAGAATTACAGTAGTGACAGCAGTTTGTCCATCTACTTTTTAAAGCTAATGTAGGATTTGTGAATCTCAGTGAGGTCATCGGGCAAATTACCTCCAGCATGCACATCTTTTCATATTCATGAGATTCTTCCATTAAATATTACAGAAATTTGGAAGCAATAAATTCTGTGTGCATACTATAATGTTGAGAAATATTGTTGCCCAAATATCTTGTATGCAGTTATCACTTGTTTATAAAAGATTCTCTTGCCAGTTTCTAGAACATTAGATATAACTGTGTTCTTTTTGAGATGTTCTGACTTGACACACATTTACATTGCTATATAGACAAATATTATCAATGTTTTCCTTGTTTGTTCATGCTTTGGAACCAACCTGTTTGCCTTTCTCCTGAGCAAAGTAAATATCATGCTACATTGCCATTCTGTTTCCTATAATGATAGATGGAAAGACTTTTTACTCATCCCATAATCATGGTTTCTAGACTTCAATATATTTTTTTTCTGGTCAAATCTGACTTAGCTGCCATATCCATCCATGCCTTCTTGTATGTGACTTTAGGAAAAAAGTGCTGGGGATTGGGTTCTGCGTTGGAATGCTGGTAACCAACTCCAATTCTGTGGCTCTCAGAGAAGAAATAGCATCCTGATTTTGAATATAAATCCTATTTGTACAGTTGATTAATATTCTGTCTTTGCTAGTGAACTTTGCTATCCTACATACACAATTATATAGAAGCAAGGGGGCACTCTTTATCAGATTAGATATGGCTCTGATAAAAGAACTGCAATAAGGAAGATACAATCAAGCAATAAAGCTAGGACAAGATCTTCTTTGCCTGTTATGTACTGAAATATCACAGCTTGCTAAACAGGCTGCTTGGGGCTTGCTGAATCTGACAACTTGATAGTTATTCAAATAATATTTATTTGTTAGGAGTGAGAAACATGCCTGGAAGCCAAATCTCTACAATTAAGCCCTCTCTCTTTATCTTCAGTAAATATATATACAGGATCATCCTTGTAAACTGTCAAAGAACTCAGTAAATAACTGTTTATGATTATATTATATTGAAGCTTTTGTATAGTCTTTGTACTGATGGAACTAAAGTATGTGTTCAGAGTCAGAATCTCTATCATTAAATATTTCTATTTATCAAATTCATATTTAGGAATATCTTAAAATCAATAGTACAGTCTATTATAAATAAGTAGGATTGTACTTCATTGAAGCTTGATGTAGTTCCTATATTTTCAAGATGAGCATTTTTGATGTAAACTATTAAATAGTTATTACTAATTATGAATCATGTTGCATAATATCTTTCATATACTAAAACTGAAATCATACAGAAAGCGTAGCTTTTTGTGTAAGGATAAATGGAAATTGCTGAAAAATTCAGTTTTCTAATCAAAAGATTATGGAAACACCAAGCATTGTTGTCCATTATGTTATTATTGTAACTAAAATTACAGTTCCTGTTGTTATTTCTATTATCATTTACTTTTAGCACCATCTAGTGTTATTATATGTTCTTTCAATTTGTTCCATAATGTTTTGTTTCTCAGTGATTTCTTTAATGAATTCCCTTGGGTAAGAATTCACATTCTTCTATATATATTTAGGATGTGTGCGTATATGAACATTTAATTTTTAAAGCTATTTTCAACGTATACATTTTGTAGATAGTATTTATTCATTTTAAAAATCCATAAATGGGTATGATGTGTATACAACTGTACTATTTTATTCATTATTTAATTTAAAATATATTTTTCTTCCAGGATGAAAATATGATCAGTTTCATCAAAGGTGGCTTGAAAATCAGAACAAGTTATCAAATATATAAGTACGTTTCTATAATACTTCACTTAGGCTGTGTATTATGTCTATTCGTGTTTTATGTTTCAGTAAATTAATTCCCCAGCTTGAAATAGTGGGGGGGGGGGGAGAATTTCCTGGATTAAAAAAATTATATCAGTTTGGCAGTGATTTCAGTTCTGCCCTTATTTACTCTCCTGTCCTTTAAAAATCATGCCAGATGGAAGAATGAAGACAAGAATAGAATATGACTATGAATTTACAAAGATAAGGCCGAACAAAACATAAATAATAATGATAAATCTATATATATTTGGATTGTTTTATATTGTTCTTTTTTTAAAAAGTTTTTATTAATTTTTTCAAATAAACATATGAGCAAATAATACAAATATGGTGCATTTCATTAGAAAAACAAACACATAAAAAACCTACTCATTAGGTATTCAGAAATAGTCGGCGGTCTCCCCCCTGCATCCACACTCCCTCCACCTTCCTACCTACTTCCCTCTTCCTTCCTCCCCCTCTTGACCACTACCTCTCCTCCTTCCTCCTTCCCAACTATCCTACACATCCCATCACCTTCTTTTTCACCACCTCGGATGCAGTTTAGGGGTACTAGCCGATCATCTCCTCTTCTTAAAGACAAACATTTACATTACATTTATAAATACACCAAAAATTTTTTTTATAATTCTACCCCTTCATCCCCTTCCCCCCTCCCCCCCCAGACTTCCCAGAACTGAGTACAGGGATAAATACATAACATCCCAAGTCTAAATTAAGCTATCCATTCATAATACAAACAAAATTATATTGTTCTGATACCAATGGTAATTGCTTGTGAATTACTTTCTATTGGCAAATCATTTCCATAACTTTATCAAGAAAACTGCAGGGATTAAGCTTGGCTCAATGGCATCCTTACTGCTAATTGCAAAGGTTATGGCTATATCATATACTAAATTATGCAGGTGTGCTATGGATATGAATGAGTCTACAAAACAGTATGAGAAATTATAAGCTCCTGATTGCCATTTCCCCCCCCCCCATATCATCTACCCATTTAAATTAGCTAGGGATTGTAGCTAATATGAGATTATGTGGCCTAAAACAATTTGTCTTCAGTCAGTGCAGCCCAGTCAAGCGACACCCATGATGGTAGGGTATAGTATGGTAAATTAAATCTCTGAAATAATAGTTGTTCATATTATCGTTGCTGTTATCTAATTTAGCATGATTTGTTTTGTTAATCAAAAGGGAATGCCTTCAGGTTCTGCAGATGGCCCAAAGCAGCAAAATCAGGAATGAAATATTCCACCAGTTTGAAGGGGGTGTACAATTAGGAATAGGAGCTTTCAATCTGGTATGAGCATTCCTTCCAATGTGTAATCTAACTTTTGATGCATGAGCTATTTAAAATTATATTGTACCTTTCAAAACCTTATTGTACTTTCATTATATCCTGTACAATTTTAAAAATATCTGTACATATATATCTTATGATTTGTGGTTTTATTGTTTTACTTGAATGCAGAACTCCCTGAGGGGTTTTTTTTGTGTGCTTTGTTTTAATTGTTTTGGATTTATGTAGTTGTTCCTCTCACCATGATTCTGTGCAGAAAAGTTTAAACAAAATCTACAATATTAAACCATTAAATCATATAATTTGCTACATATACTTAAAAAAAAAGAAATGCTGAATGTAAAAAATATAAGATCAAGTCATTTGGACTTTACTAATGTTATCTGAAGGTTGTACTGAACATTTTTAAAGCTATTAAGCGATAACTTTTAAATATTTTTTGTTTATCCTTCTGCATTAAAAACTGATGGAATCTTTGTTTTCCCTTTTTGGCAGATGCTGTCCCTTTTACCAGGAAGAATTCTCCGACTTCTTGAATTTATTGGGTTTTCAGGCAATAGGGTATTAAATTGAATTTCTATTGTTATATGAATTTTTAAAACACCGTACAAGCTCTGTTTGTCAGGATAGGACTAAATAATTGATGCATCTGGATCATCTTCAGATCTCATTGACTATCTGACTATAGGGATATGATATGCAGGTGTAAAACTTGACACAAAGTATTTAAATCTTTAGTTTTAAAATCTTCAATATTTTTCTTCCTATGGCTTTTAATAAAGCAGATTTTACAAATAATGGGATATAATTGCTGTCACTTACTGTTAACAAAGCTATTCTATTAACAGAGCTTACCCTTTGACTGCTTTTTTTGTTTACTTTCTCTCCTTTCGCCAGTGAACAATGTATATATTTCCTCTCTGTCTCCTCTTTACTGTATAGCCCTGTGCCTGAAAGTGGAGGGAAAACAACAGTGAAGTCCAGTGGTGGCGAACCTATGGCACGCGTGCCAGAGGCGGCACTTGGAGCCCTCTCTGTGGGCACACGTGCCGTTGCCCCAGCCTCGCCTCCCCCCATGACCTCCTCCTCACCAGCAGCCCCCTGGAGGAGAGTCGCCTCCCGAGTGTGGCCCACGCGGAGCAGCACAGCCAAGGACATGGCAGCCAGGCAGTGTAGACAAGACTCTGCCTTCATGCCCCATTGTGCATAGTTGATGCTGCGGGGCGCAGGCGGAGGGTTTGGCCACCATGGCGCTGCTGGGCTGCCTGGGTGATCTGCAGTGGGCCCTGGAGGCAGTGAATGGCCCTGTGGGCAGGCAGGGTGGGGGCGGGGGTGGGGGCAGTTTTTGGGCACTCAGTCTCTAAAAGATTTGCCATCACTGGTGTAGTCCTTACTGACCCCACCTCTCTCCTGGGAGTGAGGTGTGAAGGCTTGAGAGGGGCCTTTATGTGCATTCACTTGAACACCAAAATAGTTGCATTTTGATCCATGACCTTCTTTTTTTAGGTTGTGGATCACAGATTTGTACCCACGCTTCAGCATGAGTACAAATCTTTACATGATCCACCACCTAAATAATACAGGGTCATGAATCAAATAACATTCAGTACATTGAATAATCCATAGGACGTACATCATTTCACTTGCAAATGATACTGAGAGTTAGAATTCTACCAACTGTGTCATACAAGTTTCTTTTTTGTGTCTTTTCTTGAAATAATTGGTGTTTGTAAAAATGGTAGACTATTGTGATTTAACTTTGTACAATTTTGTGGCTGTTGACAGGAACTTGGTCTTCATCAGTTACGGGAAGGAGCTTCTGGTCCCACTTTACGAGCAGTAGTATCTACTTTTATCTTGTTGCTATATCACTGCTTTGTTTCATTAATCCTTGGTAAGAATTAAAAATGAATACTCAGGTGAAAAATAATTTAGCATATCACAAATTCTAATATAGTTTTTAATATGTATTTGTATTACTTGTTTGTATTTTCAGCAACACTAGTGGCTATATTTACAGTATAGAATGAATTTAAGTTAATAAATTAGTTAACGTTAGTGGTGGTTGTGCTGACCCAATTAACTATAATCTTGATAAAAGAAAGAAGGGAACAAATTGTTCTACATAGGATGAAAAGTTCCTGCTCTCATGTTTTTTGCTATTTTAACTTCATTTGATAGAAGTCTATCTGTAGCTGATCTTTGGAAGGAAATAAAGTAAGAATGACAAAGCAAAGAAATGTTCATTTATTTATAATTAAAATGTAGGATTTTTTTTATAAACAATAGCATGATGGGGTCTGGAATTAGGCATGCCAATTTGAATCATTTTGATGCCTTTCAATTCAAAGCATTTATATTATTAGGAATTCAAATAACATTCAGAGAATGCAAATTAAATTAGCCCTGAACTTCCTATCAGTTGTGGTAATGTTAAGACATGAATATCTCATCTATCAAATTAATTCATATTTAACATTTGCTTCAGATGTTTGGAAAAATTAGAAATAGTTTTTTGTTTCTGATCTTTCTTCATTTCTTCATTCACTTTTTGAAGATAAAGCAGTTCCATCAGTACACAGAATGGGAGATAAGAGATTTTTATAGAATTGGATACCCAAATAATGATTAAAACTCCAATACTGCTGAAGTTATTTTAATAAAGAATAGGTTAAAAGTTACAACTTAATTTTAAAGACGTTCAATCATTCATTCGTAAATTATCTAGATGTCATCAAGGAAGAGACATCTGCTTTATTTAAAAGCAATCTTATATAAAAATTCTTACGTTAAAAAGAACAGATTCTTTTGAATGTAAAAAAAAACCCTCTGGACAAATAATTCTAGATCTGAACTCAAATGTCTTTGAAACATTTTATTGCAAATAATTCTTATCATCCCAATGTTATTTATTTTAGATTTAGTTAAATTAGGTCATTTATTAGCTATATTCACAACAGTTTTTCTAATTGATCATCTTTCTACATAAATGTTGATTCTGGATAGAAAAATAATACCTGTGCTCTGAGAGAATGAAACATTTTAATTTCCTTTTGGCTTTATTCCTACTTCGTCTTTCGTTTTAACTGTGGTTCTAATAGTTTATTTCATTAAAAAAAGCAAGAGGAAAAAAAATAAATCATATTTAAGCATTAAATCTGGAGGTTGGCTTTTTTTTAAAAACAACAACAACTAATGTTTGATTTCAGCATAGTATCTTTCAGTGTTCTGCGTCAAGATGAATGTCTTCCTGTACTGTAATATTTTACTATACAAGTTGTCCTCGACTCACAACCACAATTGAGCCCAAAGTTTCCATTGCTAAGTAAGACGTTTGTTAAGTGAGTTTTGCCCCATTTTACAACCTTTTCTGACACCATTGTTAAGTGAATCATTGCAATTGTTAAGTTAGTAACGGTTAGTTGACTGTGGTTGTTAAGTGAGTCTGGCTTCCCCGTTGTCTTTGCTTGTCAGAAGATTGCAAAAACTGATCACATGGTCCCGGGACACTGCAACCGTCATAAATACATGCTAGTTGCCAAGTATCCAAAGTTTGATCATGTGACCCTGGGGATGCTGCAACCATCATAAGTATGAAAAATGGCCATAAGTCACGTTTTTCGGTGCTGTTGTAAATTTGAATGGTCACTAAAAGAACTGTTACAAGTCGAGGACTGCCTGTACTATGACAACTTTTATTACATTTCATTAAAGTTAGGCTTTCTTCTAATATTGTTTTCTAATATTGTTTTCTAATAATACTATATATTAAGTATTGTGTTCTAATAATACTATACATGAATTAACTTGTATGAATCTATAATATAGCCATCAATACTGAGAGAGGATGTTGATATTTCTATAGGAACAGGGGAAACCAACCTCCTTGAAGCAGAGACTCTTCTTCAACCTTTTCTTCAGAAGTTCCCAAAGGTTTTATTATTTCACATTCTTAAAGTATTTTTTAACTATGGTTAACATTTCTACCTCACTAACAAAGTTGCCATCTTTTTCAAGGGTGCCCTCGTTCTGTTTTACGATGCCAGAATCAACATATTGAAAGGAAATTTTGAAAAGGTAACGGCAGATTGCCCCTTTTAAAATAAAGACTGAGGTTCTGTGTTAGTTATAAGAAAAACTTGCTCCCGTGCTTAAAAAAAAAAATCAAGAGAAAAAATGGGAAGAGAAAAAGAAAACTTGAGCACTGTTTGATAAAATGCTCATAAAGATCAACTTCAGTAATAACATTTCAAAATAGAATGAGCCAAAAAGAAAAAAAACCAGCTGTTACTCCACCAAGTTGGGAATATCAGTATCAATAGAATGTTAAGATTTACTTTCATAAGAAGCAAGTCCTCATATTTTCAGTTTTTCATGTGAGATGGCAAACTCTCATAAAAGTTTAACCTAGGTAAGAATCAGATATACCAATTCCTTGCTTGCTAAATCTGACCATTGTTGTAAAGCCCGTCTTAAAACTCGTATACAGACTTATTTAATCGTCAGTTAATTAATATCCATTCCATCTATCCACACATAACATTGTACTGTAATTGTGTGCTTGAATATTCTGAAATTATGTACCATAAAGTTCATTATATTCTTTATATCTATCTTTTATATCGAAAGAAAATAGAAGGCCATAATTTGAGAAGTTTTCTTTCTGTGGTTTGATCTTTCTCTCCCTTTAAATTCCAGGCTGAGGTAACATTCCAGGACAGCATTGCAGCTCAGCAAGAGTGGAAACAGATGCAGCATCTCTGCTACTGGGAACTGATGTGGTCTTACTCCTTCCAGCAGAACTGGCTTCAAGCATATCGGTATGCAGATCTGCTTTGCAAAGAAAGCAGGTGGTCAAAGGTAAACAAAGATGATCAGGGGACTGGAGGCTAAAACATATAAGGAACGGCTGCTGGAATTGGGTATGTCTAGTTTAACGAAGAGAAGGACGAGGGGGGGACATGATAGCAGTGTTCCAATATCTCAGGGGCTGCCACAAAGAAGAGGGAGTCAAGCTATTTTCCAAAGCGCCTGAAGGCATGACAAGAAGCAACGGGTGGAAACTGATCAAGGAGAGAAGCAACCTAGAACTAAGGAGAAACTTCCTGACAGTTAGAACAATTAACCAGTGGAACAACCTGCCTCCAGAAGCGGTGAATGCTCCAACACTGGAAGTTTTTAAGAAGAGACTGGACAGCCATTTGTCCGAAATGGTATAGGGTTTCCTGCCTGAGCAGGGG